TCCATGTGAGAAAACATTAGACAGAATCCAATGCCACGATTCGTGATTAAAAAGGAAACAAACCCCTTAGTAAAGAGGGAAAGGAGGAAGCTTGTAACAGCTGATGTCGTGGTCAATGGTGACCAGAGCTCTGCTCCTGAGATCAGGAACAAGGGTGGCCCTCATCACCACTTTGTAAACCTTGCATCCTGAAGAGCACAACAGGACAAGAAAGTGAAATAAAAAGATATGCAGATAGACTGAGAAAGAAGAGATAAACTGTCTTTATTTGCAGATGATACACTGAAATTCTGAAAGAAATTTTTTGTTTTAAAAATCCTGGGCCTGAGACCTACTTATAGCAAGGTGAAGGCTGATTGTATCCACACATCCAACAATAGACAAATAGGAATTTGAAATTAAAAACACAACATTTACATTACTACCACTGCAAATTGAAATATTTAATACAATTTTTTCACTTAAAATCTGATTCTGAACTGAACTCTAGAAAAAGGTGAAGCATCATCACATGACAAAACTATAGACATACAAGAGTGACACAAGGATGGTTCACGAGGAGACTCTGTGCTCACAGATGGCAGGGTCAGAGCCGTGTGGAGACTCAGTGCTCACAGACGGCAGGATCAGAGCTGTGTGGAGACTCTGTCCTCACAGACGGCGGGGTCAGAGCCGTGTGGAGACTCAGTGCTCACAGACGGCAGGATCGGAGCCGTGTGGAGACTCAGTGCTCACAGACGGCGGGATCAGTGCTAGAGACTGAGCATCACCGTAATCAAAACGTAGAAAAGTTATTTTATGGTGACTGACCAGTAGTTCTAGTGTTTATATGGAGAAAAACAAGTCAACACAGCACTAACAGAGAAGAAGAGCCTAGCGCTCCCTCAGGGGGAGACAGGAGAGTGGAACAGACCCACATGGACACTGATCTTAGATGAAAGCCCAAAGGTGACTGAATGGAGAGCAGACAGCCTTTCCTGCATACCGTGTAGGAATCACTGAGCATTGAAACAAAATAACACGAATCTAGACAGATCTCACACTGTTTATAAAAACAAGCTTACACTAGATCACAGACCTAATAAAACACAAAACTGTACGAATGTCTCAGTGACAGCGGGTTTGTGATAATTTTTTTAGATACACCACCAAACATGGAGTAATTGATAGGCTAGAAATCACTAGAATTGTGATTTTTCTGGGCCAGTGAGATAGCTCAGTGGTTAAAGATGCTTGCTGCCATGGCTGAGGACCAAAGTTCATCTCCAGAGCCCACACTGTAGAAGAGATGAAACTCTAGAAAGTTGTCCTCTGACCTTTATCTATATACTGTGCATCTATGCACACAAAGTGAAAATTCAATATGAAACAAATTCTGTCCTGCTAAAGACAATGCCAGGACAATAAAATGGCAAATCTGGGAGAATATTTGCCAACGATACATTTGATAAAGTATCAAAATATAGAAGAAACTCTTAAAACTCAGCAAGAAAATCTGAATTAAAAAATAGCAAGGGCCATAATAAACACCTCTCTAAAGAAGATAATGGATAGCAAAAAAACGAAAACATTCTCCATACCATTATCAGCAGTACCTACTAGATTGGTCACACCCAGGACAATGACATCTCCAAATGTCATTTTGATTCATAGGTACATCCATTACTCGAAACTTTGTAAAGGTACAAAAGGAACTACAAAGTACCATAGCAATCGGCATCTTAACTGTTTCAGGCTGTTACATGCTAATTTGTATGTAAACTTATATGTGTATGGCTACAGGTAGCAAAGTATTTAAAGAAATCTGGTCTTGGTTACCATCAAACTAATTTAACTTCTTATGGAATAAATAGAATCCGTTATGTGAAAATATAGTCCCTCCCTCTGTGTTTCTGCTTCCTGTGTTTCGGAGTTCTGAGAGGATACAGAGGAACATAGATTCGCACCATGGCTGGCAGGAATATAAAACCAGGCAGCTGCTCTCTGAAGGCAGTGTGGCGGTTTCTTACAAAACTCTTCTTGCCATATGATCCAGAATGTACCCAAGAGTGTGGGAAGCATATGCCCTTACAACTACCTGAAGGATTTTACAGCCATGTCATCCAGAATTGGGAAAGATGGATTAACTGAAGACGTCCTTTGGTCAGTGAATGGCTAAATAAAACAGTCAATGTAAAAAGGAGATGTTCTTAAGCCATGAAAACACAGGGAGAAAATACAAATGTGTGTTGCAAAGTGAAGCCAGTCTGAACACGAACTGTATGATTCCAACTATGTGGCATTCTGGAAGAGGTAAAACTGCAGTGATCAGTGGTGGCCAGAGGTTCATGGAGCAAAGGATGAATCAGAGGAGCAGGGAGGACAGTCACTGCAGGTAAACTATTCTGCACTGGTGGATACATATCTATCAGAGCCACAGAACAAGAAGCTGCAAGAGTGAACCCTGCTGTCAGCTGCAGGACTGGGTTCTAATGTGCTAATACACGGGTATCACTGGTACTAAAACGCCAGGCTAATGACTAAATAAATCAAAACAACTCTTTGGCAGGATGCCAACATGAATCAAGAGTTATAAAATATTCATATCCTTCCTCTCAGCAAGTTTTACTTCTGGAAATTGATGGAAGCAAATAATTTTTACATAAGAATATCTAAAATTACTGATACTAACACATACACACAAAATCACATAGCTTCCAGAGTTCCTACAGCCGATGAACGATGCCACATACCACATAGTGAACTAAGCCAGATAGCTGGTAAAACTCAACTCAGTGCCTTCTGCTCACCCGCAGACACCTGCCACGAACTCTGTCATACATTCCTACTGCTCCCGCCTCTCAAGTCTGTCCACATCTGTCCATTTTCATATGCCTCCTGAATCCAGGCTGTCTTTCTCCCATACCTAGACTGTTGTGGTCCCCCGTGAGCCATTCCTATCCTCTAATCCACCCACCATTCCACAGAATGACCCTTTTAGACTGATAATCTGATGTCAGTCTCCCTGCTTGAAAACCTCCAGCTGCTGTCAGGAGGAGGCTGAGACTCCTTATCAGGACTTCCGATGTCTTATCAGAACGATGCCCACCTACTATTTCAGCATCCCTGTATCCCTGGGCATGACGTCATACTTGAGTGGCTAATCTTTCTTCCCTTTTATGAAGGTCCAGCACTAAGTGAGCAAGACAATCACCATGTCCAGGTGGATATGTCCCGTGGCTCCAGTCCTCAGTCTCCAACGACCTGGCTGTTACTCACACTTTCCTGCTTCACAGACAGCACAGGCTCATCATCTGAAGCCTGCCTCTCTTATCACCTGCTCACCTTGCCCTTCCACCGGAAACAGTACAGGCATCCCCTCAGTGCCCTGTGCTTCCATTCTCCCGTGTCCTGTCTACACTGCCTCCCAGACCCACCTCCCACCACATCCTTTGCTTCATCCCCTCATCCTCTTCCTACTTCAGAACCCACTTAGTGCGCTGCATTTGCTATTTCAGCAGCCTCCTGAGTGGTTTCCTCCCTTCCACGCTTGGCACAGCCTCCCAGTCGGCTTCAGTATCAGGTTTTGAATCTGAGTGATGCTTTTTTGGGGTATGCATTTCTAGGCATATCACTCAACCTTTCTAATTCTTGGCTTCCTTATCTATAAGCTGGAAACAATACGTTACACGGTGGTATTAATGATCTAGAGAGATGACTGAGAGAGAGGGAGAGACTTAGGCACTCCAACACACTGTGAGTGGGAGTATAAATTGTCAGACAGAGTTTGAGACACGGCTATGATGTATTCTTAGTACCATGTCATTATTGTCTTATTGGAAATAACAGAACAGGTTAGTACATCTTTAAATTGAAGGAAAAAAAAACATCAGAAGGTGCTTCTGATGAGTGGATGGTGTGATACAAAGCCAACCAGCTCCCTGTGGTGGTCAGTTCCGGACAGCACCAATACAGCACAGGTGCCCAACTGCTTAGTCAAACACCAGCAAGATGCTGCGAGACTGTATTTTATAGGTACAGTGAACACTGTCAGCTTTGAGTAAAGGAGATTACTCTCAATCATATGAATGAACCTCAGCCAATCAGTTGACCTGAAGAGCAAACACATTGTAATTTCCCAGAAGCAAGTGGCAGAGAAATCCTGTCCACATTTCCAGCCTTTCTAGACTATCCTGAGGATATCAGGCTTGCTAGTGCCCAAACCAGTTCCTTAAAAGTTCTGTCTCTCTCCCTTTCTCTCTCTCTCTCTCTCTCTCTCTCTCTCTCTCTCTCTCTCTCTATCTCTATCTCTATCTCTATCTCTATCTCCCTCTCTCCCTCCCTCTCTCCCTCCCTCCCTCCCTCCTTCTCTCCCTCTCCCTCCCTCCTTTGCTCCAAATTCTTTGGCGAACTCTGAGGACTCACCAATGACAAATTAGAATAACAAATGAGAGAACACCTTTAAAGGTCTTCAGCAAAGAATTTAAAGTGTAAACAAAATTCCTACCCAGCGGGACTAGGGAGAGACCTTAGCCATTGCCACTTGGAGTGGACCTGAGTTTGGTCCCAGCACCTGTGTCAGGCAGGTGGCAACTGCTTGTAACTCCAGCTCCAGGGGATCTGACACCCCTGAGGGCACCCCCACATGTAAGGGTGCATACACACAGACATATGTATACATAATTTAAAAAGTAAAAGTACCTATTTTTTAAAAAGTAATAATAAGTTTAGTAGCATAAGCGCTAAATAAACTAATAAAGACAGAAATGTCACTAGGGAATGGTACCCAAGTCACGCATGTAGTGTGAGCAATCCAGAGCTTCGGCTGCTTGCAGTTAGCAGCAGGGACTGGGGTCCAGCACGCACTTGCCTAGGTTTCTAATAAGATCTTTGCTGGACATCTGTGCTGACCAAGTGTTTCAGTTATCTCTGGCAGATGACTGCCAGGCATGTTCAGAGCTGCTACGGCTCTTGTGCATTGGGTTGAGCGCAGCCTCGGTGGCCAGTCCACTGCCCCTTACCCGTGAGAAATGACTGATGGCGGCATCGTAGAGTCCCAAGGCTTGCTCCACACCTGCCAGTTCCCTCAGTACTTGTACACACTCAAGACTTTTTTCATCTTTGGTGATCTCGGTATATTCTAAAGCCTTTTGATAGTACGGGAAAGCTTCTTTTGATCTTTTCTGACCTTGATACAACCTAAAAAAAAAAAAAAAAAAAGGCAAAAAACCAAAATCAGTTAACTGATTGGCTGAGGTTCATTCATAAGATTGACAGTAATCTCTACTTAAAGCTGACAGTGTTAACTGTACTTACACAACATAGTCCTGCAACATTTTTATTTTTAAATGAGCTAAAATTGAAAGTCTAGTCTCTCCGACCCTGGTGCTCAGGCTTGTTTCCTTGTAAGCTAAGCTTTTCCTTCAAAAGAAGTGGACCATGATGGTCAGGAGGATAGATTCTGGAGCAACCAGAACAAGCTTAAATACTGGCTTTAAAACTGGCTTTGCCTTTATCAGGCTCATGACTTTCAATTTTTCTTTTTTTTTTAATTTATTTATTTATTATATGTAAATACACTGTAGCTGTCTTCAGACACCCCACAAGAGGGTATCAGATATCATTACAGATGGTTGTGAGCCACCATGTGGTTGTTGGGATTTGAACTCATGACCTCTGGAAGAGCAGTCAGTGCTCTTAACAACTGAGCCATCTCACCAGCCCGACTTTCAATTTTTCAATCACCTGTAAACAGGTTCATTGCCTATAAACTAAGAATAGTAACAGTACTTGCTTCACTGGTCACTATAAACAATAAATTAATTCATATTCATGAACATACCTAGTACATCTCTTGGGATATATTAAGAGCTATGTAGGTGTTTTAGTTTAACGAAGCATATTGCTTTAGTGGTGACGATCATAAAGGATGCTGAGATTCTGACAACTGATCTGTTTAGAAACTGCCCAATATGGTCCCGGGGACGGTGGTACACACTTTTAATCCCGGCATCAGGAAAGGAGAGGCAAGAGGGTCTTTGTGAGTTCAAAGTCAACTCGGTTTACACGGTGAGTTCCAGGACAGCCAGGGTTCTGTAGAGACCTTGTCTCAAAATCTCAGAATAAAAAATTGTCCAGCATGGGTGGAGAGATGGCTCAGTGGGTGAGGACACTTGGTGTGCAAGCCTGAGGACCTGAGCTTGGATTCTGGCAGCCAAGTGAAAAGCCAGACACTGCTGTGCACACCTGTAGCCCAGAACTATGGTGCAGAAACAGGAGATTACTGGAGACCCTGTGTCATGGAAATAAGACAGAGGGTGATACAGCAGTATCCAAAACCTTCCTCCTACACACTCATGTGCACATACCACACACACACACACACACACACACACACACACACACACACACAGAGTGAGATCGATCCAGTATTGATGATAATGTGGAATGTGGAATGTTCTTAGGAACTTTGGGGAGATATTTGAATAAAAGCTTCCCTCTAACAAGGTTATGCACAAAATGAACGGACATACATATTAACCCTGCTGTTCTCATAGAAATTTATCAAAAATGTTTGCCTTAGTATTGCTATAATGGTGGTGGTGGTGGTGGTGATGATGATGATGACCAGGATGGAAAAGCAGAGAACACTTCAACCTCAGCATCAGGGACCTGGCCGTAGAGATCACAGGGAAAGTATCTATACCACACAATGCCAAACAGCCACTCGAGATAATGCTGAACTTTATCAGTCAACCCAGGCGCACACAAAACTAATGTTCTTTAGTGAAACAGTAGGCTTTAAAGCTAGTTTGTGCATCAGCTCCTGCATGTAAAATCTGTATGGCTAATCAGAGAGATGCCCCCAGTGTGTCAGCGATCTACTCCCTGAGCAACTGAATTGAGTGGCTTACTGTTCTTGTTTATGATTTTCTAAGTTTCCCCAAAGTCTCTAATATATGATATTTGCTAGCTTAACATTAGAAATAAAAAGTTTTAGCTTCTTAGGACAATAAGCTCTCATATTAAAAAAAAAAATCCCTATAAGCGCCTAGGAAGCAGTATAACTGGCATTTACAGTATCAGTCTTCAAAGTACAAAGACTATTAAATATGTTTCTCTCGCAGGACAATCTTAGGTCCAAAGCTCTTAATGAAGAGCAGCAATCCTCCGGTGCTGCTCTCCACCCAACAGCTTGGGGATAGGAGATGCTTCAGCCCCTGTGGCCATGAATAAACAGACACCACAAGCAGGCCTTCTCACTTAGCCACGAGGCAGTTTTCACTTCATGTTTGCTCTACAAAGGTTAACTGATAGAAGAAACACACTTTTCAGGTTTGCGATCTCAATGGTAAGTTGAGGGCGGTACGGTGGCTCACTGGTTACAGTCATTTGCTGCTCTGTCAGTGGATCAGTTTCCAGCTCCCACATCAGGTGAATCACAGCTCAGTTCAGTTCCAGGAGATCTAACAGCCTCTCCTGGCCTGAGAGGACACTGGCGCGCACGTGTGTGTGTGTGTGTGTTTGTGTGTGTGTGTGTGTGTGTGTACATGTGCACACGCACAAGACATTAACATTGAAAAATCTGGACTGAGTAACTTGTGAGCTTGAATGTCACCTATAATTGGGAAGAGGCCCAAACACAGGAAGGGGTCAAGGAGAGGAATATGCTTGGATCAAGCAAGGTTAGAGCTGGGGCAACTCTGATTTGGGGGTGGGGGAGTGGAGTAGAAAGATTAACAGGCAACCCCACCTAGCTTGACCTTTGCCCTCCTGATGAGCTTGAAATATACGTGTAATCATTATTTTCGATACCATTCCTTACTTTTCCAGAGAAAACCCACAGAGATCTCGGCAATGGAAACAGGGTCTAAAATACAGTTTCTATGAAATCGACTGTCGGGCAGTGGTGGCGCACGCCTTTAATCCCAGCACTTGGGAGGCAGAGAGGCAGGTGGATTTCTGAGTTCGAGGCCAGCCTGTTCTACAGAGTGAGTTCCAGGACAGCCAGGGCTACACAGAGAAATCCTGTCTCAAAAAACCAAAAAAAAAAAAAAAAAGAAAACGATTAGCCAAATAATTAGATTCTTGGTAGATAAGGCCGGAATAAACAAAAATGAGGGCCAGCAAACTGCAGAGAGAGGATCAAGTCTGCTCACTTGTAAATAAAGATTTATTTGCATATCATAACTTCAGAATAGCAGTGGTAAATCTGAATAGTCGTCATAATGATCATGTAACCAATAAAGCCTAAAATATTTACATCTTTACAGGCTAAACTTGTTTGATTTCTCATTTAAAAATCTAGAAAAGCCTCACACACTTTCTACATGACTGTATATTTATTTCTATCCAATTTGCCTAAAGAATTCAGGCAAGGCCATTGATATCTGAACAAAGGAGAAATAATTCATGGCCATTTTCCTTTCTCACAGTCAGCAATGGCTGAGTCTGGCAAGGAAGGAAAGCACGCATCCTTTGCTTCCCAGATTACTGTGAAAAGTGGAAGAGCACAGAGAACCACAGGCACCCAGGGGACTGCATCTGAGCAAACACTTCCAAGGGAAGCAAGGTATGCCCATAACAACCCAGCCAGCACGTCTTCTTTCCCGAGACAGGTATGCCCATAACAACCCAGCCAGCACGTCTTCTTTCCCAAGGCAGGCTTGTACTGATGTCAACCACAAACAACTTGAAGTGACCTACCAACAGCACATTACCTGAGTTTAGAAAAAGCCATGACATTTTCCAGCATCCAGAGACTTTCCCTTGGGGAGAAAACGGTATGGAAAAAGAGCACCGGCTGAGAGCGGAGCATTGGTGTAAGCTCTGTGAGCAGAATGTGCGCACTTAGCTGGAGTACCCACATGTACAGAATGTGGGCAAGAACGGACTTCTGAGATTTCCTCATCTGAACCCAGCCAGTCAGGTTGTGGGGAGCACAAGCGACTTGCCTGAAGCCTGCCACACACACATACACACACACAACTGGATCGCTCTTGCTCTCTCGCTCTCTCGCTCTCTCTCCCTCCCTGTTACCCATATTCTGCAGGCAACAGCCTCAGGCTGTCCTTGTGGACAAACGGGCTCAGCTCCAGACCCCTTCTCATTGCAAACATGAGAAAGCCAGCAAGACGGGAAAGATCAGTTCAAAGCGATTGAAAATAGCGTGCAAATGAGCCAGGAGATTCTTACAAATCCAACTGAACTAAAAGATCGGAACATTATTATAAGAACAATACATGTTCATCATCAAAAGTAAGAAATGATGGGTGAACGTAATTTTAAACTATGTGAAACGACAGCACTCAAGCCACAGACACAAAAGTGTCACATAAGTTATAAGCCTACATTTATGGAGTATGATTTTGATATATTTGAGAAAAAACACAAGGAACAGTAACCTTGCACCTTCAGCGAGGGAAGCGCTTCTTTTATGAGACACAAGTTAGAACAGAAAAGGCAGGTGAACTGGTCACAGTAAAAACTAAAACTCCTAGCGCTGGTGGTGCATCTCACTGGTTATTGCTTGTCTAGCATTCGAGAGGCCCTCGGTTTGACTCCCAGCCACTCACACAAGTAATAATAAAACAATACCAAGTACAGCTCCTGGGCCCAGGGGTAGTATGAAGATGGTGGAAAGGGTGAACTATGGAGTGTGTAATACCTGTAACCAGCAAATGAGGGTTCCAGAAGTATAAAGAATGTCTGCAGAATTATTTAATGTAAACAGTAAACAGCCCTATAGAAAGAGGTGACTAAGCCAGGTGTGATGACACATGCACTTAAGTCCAACACCTGGGAGGGAGGCAGAGGCAGGTGGATCTCCATGATTTCAGCTTAGCCTCCATAGCAATTTTCATGTCAGGTAAGGCAACAGAGAAAAACTCTATCTCAAAAAAAAAAAATGGTGAATAGATAAATCACAGAATAGAAATTCCAAATGTTTAGGAAACACGAAGAAGTGTTCCACCTCCACATCAGGGAAGGAGATCACAGAGTCTATGAGATGACTGTGCATTCGTATGAACAGCAAAGATAAGCAGCCAGACAACACTAAGTGTTGGCAAAGGTGTGGAGTAACGTGGAAACAGAACCTGCCAATGAGGACAGAGCAGGTGGAAAGGGTCGGGAAAACTTAGTAAGGCTGAGGGTGTGGGTACTCGGCACCGAGGCAACTGTCCTTCCGGGCAGACACG